GGTGCACAGTGGCAGTACACACGCTTGGGATGCACAAAATCCCTGTTAAATATAAGACCAAACATTTTCACCAGGAGAATAGTCAGGCACTGGAGCAGATTGCCAGGGAGGTTGTGGTATGTACAATCTTGGAGATAGTCAAAACTTGACAGGACAGGCTTTTAGCAGCCTGAGCTAAATGGACTTGCCTTAAGCTGGGTGTTGAACTAGATGACCCTCACAGGTCCATTTCAGCCTAGATTATGCTGTGATTCTATGAATTTTTCAAATATTTTTTTTTTTTTCCATTGCAGAGTATGTGGGAACTTATTGATAAAGGAACCCACCAGAAGCTGCCAAAGTATATGTAATTCAAGATAATGAATATTGTAGGTGTCCTGGTAAATAATGTCAGTAGCAGTCTGAAGTGGACCAGTGCTCATTTTGTAATTATCTTGAGTCAGGAGATGCTTTACTTTAGTCTCCTTGATTGCAACAAGTTATCTTCCACCTAACAGTGTTATTTGCCCACTGGCTCTCTGGGATTTACAGTGTTCTTAACACAGAGCTGATACCTATGACTAAGTCTTAATTTAAACAAATCAAAGCATGTGTGTAAGTTTATATGCTTTTTTCATTTTTTTCCCCCCTCACGATATGCATAATATGCATCCTTCCTTCCAGGCTGAAGGAAGGATGATCTACCTGGAAACAGGAAACATGCTTTTCTCGGTGCAGCTCTCCTGCAGTGCTCTGCATTAGAGAGGCTCGGATCTACATTCAGATAGCTACACGAGTTCCTACTGCAAATAGAAATTTCATGTGTTTAACTTGGCCCAGAATTTTTACTTTAAAAGACTGTTATATTTTATACCTTTTAATGATTTATTTAACCTGCCCTGGACTGCATGACATGCAGTCAGAGCAATCTCATTAGCTCTTTTACACATTAGAACTGCCTGAGGTCAGTGTTCAATATAATGTTCAATAGATATAAGCACCTACAACATAATTTGCTCATGCAGTCTCTCATTGAATTATACCTGTAAGGAACCCCCGCTTCTCTTAGACTCAACCTTTGTTTTTAGTGGATTGCTTTTAGTGGCTAAAACTGTATTCCAGCTTCTACAGTATCTTGGGATAATTTTTAAGTAATAATTGGAAACAATTAATATTGAACTGATCTCCTGAGTAGATGCATGCCTTTTGTGAGCAAAAATCTGTTTCCTGTTTGACTTTTCCTAGATATTTTATTGAATGTCCTTTCATTTTCTTAAATCAATCATTATGATAAATGGTGATTATTTTTTTTTTCCATCCCACCCATTCCATTTTTGAACATGCTAGAGACTTTGAGAGTTTGGATTTGCATTTGGAAGCAGTATATTGAGTTGGCTTTTGGTTCCATCTTATGCTCTGTGGAATACATTGTATGGATCACTTTGCATCAGTAACACTGAATGTGGAAGTGAAACAAACATCATTATTACAATGAATACCCTCTGTCAATAAAAATATGACAGTTACATACACAAGAGTATTTAATTCTAGCTTTCCACTGTTTTAATGATTAAGTAGACTTCAGGGCAAACATGAATGGGACCTGGAAGCTGACCATCTAAGGTAATGGAAAAGTGGAAGGGAGAGCCTGTGTTAACCAGCTGCAGCTGTGTGGTTTTGTAGGCAACATCAGTTTCTGCTGTTCTCTCTGTGAACATCTCTGTGGTATTATTCACCTTGCACATGATGTTGCAATCCAGAGCACTGTACTACTTTACTGTGCCTAGGAATTCAGTTCTCATATCTGCTCTTGACAGTCTCACATTCAGTTTTGGATTTTAGACCAGCTGAACTAGCTCAGGAGCTGAAAATGAGACAAGTGTGTGGATTGTGTTGGCAGCGAGCAACAAAAGAGGGTTCATGTATCACTTAAAAAGTTGCAAGTCCTGCATAAGCTTCTCATCCTCAGGCAGCGGATAAGGGAAGCATTGCATGAGTCACAACATCATGTCTAGGTTTCAGTTTCTGCTGGAATGTGACATTGGTACAATCTTCATAAGCAGGTGCTTCCTCTGCTGCTGTAGGCACAAGCATGTATTTCTGTCTTTCAAACGTACGATGGCAGCAAAGCCCCTTCTGGTTTTGACATTACCAGCGGTACTAGCTCTTCACCTGAATAACCGTGGTAGTCATTTTCTCTGTGGATTCCAGTTTCTCATCCTGTCTGTGTGGTTGGGATTCAACCAAGACAGTAATTCTTCCCATATAAATAGGAAAGAAATAATTGTGTGGACAAAGGTAGTTGTCGAGCATGATGATCCCAGCAGCGGTTGCAGACTGCTACTTGATCCAGCATGCCAGGCTGAGTAGTTCAGTGCTTGTTGGCAGAGCCATATTAAACAATAAAATTTATGAACTCATCTGTTAAAAACTGGAGAGTGACTGGGCATGGAAATTTTAAAGATTGGCAGTAATCTGTGGGTATTTGGAAATGCTTACTTTATCAATTGTAACATGTAAGTGCGCATCGGAAAGTCTCGTCTCTTCCCCCATTTTTGCTGTAGGTTCACTGTAGCAGGAAAGATCACCTAATGTGCTTCCTTTTTCACATCTGTAAGATGTAGTGATTCCCTCCGAGCTTTTGATTGTTACGAGGTTCAGCCAATCTTTGTAAATGCTTAAGCTGGTTAAATTGGGTGTGATGCAGAAATACAATTGTTGAGCTGACTTTTAGGTAGTTTTATCTATTTGTGTTATAAAATACCTGCCAATTTTTTTTCCTCTTCTATGAAAAAAGAAATCATATCCTGCCTGTCTAGGCCAGAATTAAGCATTTTATTGGCAATATTTCTTTTTCTGACACAGAGGAATGTTTTTGAAGGATGAAATGGGAAATGTAGAAAAACAGTAATGATGCCTCATTCTTACTACCTTTTAGTTTGACCTAGGCAAGTAGCTATAGTTAGGCAATCATTTTTTTAAAAAAATCTCCAGATTTATTTTTTGCCTGTCATGTTTGAGTGCATTTCTTCCTTTAAACCAAGGGAAAGGTATCTTTCTCCCTTTAAAGGTGAAATGTAAGATATTCGGGGATTATTTTTTTTTTTTCATGTTAAGGATACAAAATTCTCTGGTGTAAAGTTGAACTCCAGTCCTTACACGGCTGAATGACACATTCATACTGGCACCTCTGGTATGGCATGGGCACCTGAAGCCTCAGGAAGCTTAGGACTGGCTAGGAAAAGAGCACTACCAGTTTGCTCCTTCTTCCTAGCTGATAGGTTAACACAAAAGCCACCATCTGGGATCTGCCATGGAGGTTTCGTTGAAGGAATCAAGGAACAAGGCTGTGTTTTGACATTTGCTGATACTACCTGTCTCCTCTGCCACTGCCAGAGGACCTTCGGATAAGAGCAATGAGCGTTTCATGCAGCCAGCTGTCTGCAGCTGCCAGACCTCTGTCCACTGATTTCAAGACAGAGAAGCAGCTGTGTGCTTTGTTAGATTCCTATATTAGGTGGTTTGAGTATGATCTGGAAAGCTTAAACTGCCCTCAGATCTGTAAATTTGAGTCATGCAGTGGGCCTTCTAGTTATGGTAGTTCCTTCCCCTTAAAAGCAGGTAGTGTCCAGATGTGGCAAACTTGAATCTCTTTCTTTCCTCTTTTTTTTCTTTCTAAAACCTGCGAAAACTCTATCTTATTTCCCCTCCAGTTGCTTACACAGCTTGGAGGAACTGCTAGTGCTCTGCAGCATGCCTGGGGTTTGCACCGTGTCTGATGTGGACCGTGGTGGAACAAACTAGGTCTGCTGATGGATTCCAAAATCTGACAGCAAAGTAGATTTGAGTCAGCATCTGAGAGGCAAGAGCCAGAACCAGATTCATTTAGCCTACATGCTGTTACACACCAGTTTTCAAGCACTGAGGTGCTAATTCCAACTCTGTTGTAAATGCCGAGTGACAGGTGCAGTGTGGCTCGCTGTAGCATCATGCTCTCTGATGGCTTTTGAGGCCTCAAACTATGGGAGGCCCAGCAATGCTAAATTTTAAATGCTTTAGTCTATTACTCGCCTCATTTGCTTTTTCTTCTCAGACTTTCTATAATTAGACATGACTTGGTCACTGATGTATACTGATCTTAAAAAGAGTTTAAAGAAGAGAAACTCTGCCACGTAGCCACATAGCTGTGCTGGATGTCAGAGGGAAGGACAGTGGGATTTTGTAGTGCTTATATAAGGGTTTAAAGGGTCTCTTCAGCCTCTCCAGAAAAACTATTTTCCTTCTTGCATTGTGGAAGGCCTGTGTCTGTCAAACACAAGAGAAATATGCTGTGTCCATCAATCAGATTGTACCTGGTAGCTTCTGTCTTTTTGTCAGGTGTCTGCTTTATAACACCAGTCATGGGGTGAATCCCTGCGTGACAGCAGAAAGTCATTCATTGCCGTGGCTCATATATTTGAGGGGAGTGGCCAGAAAAGTGACCACCTTCCCCAGGGTTTTCTGCACACTGTTGAGTACAGACGATTTCAAGCTGGAAGAGGATTGTGGTGTCCCTCCCCTTTGCCCAGTTAGTGGAGGAGGACCATTCTGGGTACTACTTAGAGAACCTCTCTCCACAGAAATCCTAATTACAAACTCTAGCAGGTTAGGGATGTTTGTAATGAACCTAAATCCCTGAATGCCTAAGAGTGGTCTTCCATAAAGATTTCATTTGATTTGGCCGTTAGATCTGTTAAAAATTGTCCAAAATCATATCTTCAGGATGCAGACATATACAACATAGAAGACCAGCATGAGGCAGTCATAATTTTTTTAGATTATGTGAACAATTGTCCAGCTCACATGGGCTCTGGGAGAGCATCAGGAGCTTGGACTCGCATCCTGGCTTAACCACGTTGTATTTGCTGTCACCAGTCTGTAGTGGTTTAGTGATAAAATGAGTAACAGGTCCCCAGCTGTAGAATGCAGACTTCTGGCCATGCTTATATGACATCAGTATGTGGTGTTGTTTTTTCCTCTAGTTTGAAATCAGGCAGCTGAGGGCCCACCTTGCTCAGCAGGATTTGGACCTGGCTGCAGAGAGAGAGGCTGCACTGCAGGTCCCACATGTACTGAACAAACAGAGCACCAACAGGTACAAGGTGGTAGCAACTGAAGATTCGGATGATGAAGCCACCGAGAACATCACTGAGTTGCGACCTCCACGAGGTGAGTCCTGCCTGTGTGCTGCTACCCGCTGGCACAGATGATCCCTTACATGGAGTTACTGAACCCACTAAATACCAGTGAATTGACTACTTTCCCTGGAGACTGCATTTTCCCGTTTTTGCAAAGAGGCTGTGTCTGCTTTGAAGTGGCAGGAGCTGTTGTATTTGCGAACAGATTCTGACAAAGCCAGTAAAATTACTCGAGAAGAAAATGACTGTGATATACCTTCCCAGTGTCCTTATGACTACATCCATCAAATACTAAAGAAGCAGCAGCCAAATCAGAATTGGCAAAAGGATAATCACTCAGAGATAAAAGCAGGCAAATTGAGAAGAACATTGAAAAAGAGTTTTGCTTTTTGGCCACTTGCATTTCTGTGCTTTAGAGAGGACCCATGTGTCAGCTGTGAAGCTTGCCTTGTCTAGAGGCTGTCCTCTCACCAGGTTGCTTAAAACTGCCAATGCTGGACAGGCCAGCTGTGCTTGGGCAGGGCAGCTCTGATGCCCGAAAAGGAGTGATGCACTGGGTAGGCAGCTCCTGCTCGAATGTCTGAAGTGCCCCGTGACTATGGTGAAAAGCAGTCTGTCGTCTGTGAGCTGTCTGTTGGACAGGTGTGTGGTTCAGGGGAATATCAACAGTTATATTTACTTGGATCCATCTTTATCATACAAGTGCTAGACCAGAAGTATTTTTGGGAAAGACATAGCTCTTTTTCCTGTGATCTCCCAAACCTTACAATGGAGTGCAGAATGTGTCCTGATCTCAGTAACATTTAATGTAATACACCAGAGGAGACAACACTTTCTACCTTAGTGATAGTTAGTCTTCCTTGGACATCTTAGCTTGATTATTTTAGTAGATGAGCAGTATGTGAATATATCTGAATTAGAGGTTTGCATGGTATCTTTATTTTGGTCAAAATCCTTAGAATTCAAGGCGTGGAAGTACTTTAATTGAAAGGTTTAAGAGAAAAAGCTCAGCAGATGTTTTCAAAATTATAATCCTTTCCATCTCTACACAGTAATGCCAGCATGTAGAAATTGTTTTTGTTTTTTCCTCTGTATAATATCTAAACGCTAACCACGGTTCAGCCATTAATTATTCCTGATTTGAAGTTGTATTTAAAAGCAGACAGTTGAGCAGACTGTCCCCTAAAATGCATTTCCCCCTTTTTTGTAGTATTTCAGAGGTTTCCCTAGTGGATATATTATAATTTATGCATGTGTTCCTTGAGGGTTACATTTGGAACTGGAGAGTGTTGTGCACATTACAAGGAATCTTGCTGAAATTTTAGTGCTATGGAGATTCATCTAAAAATTCTGCTATCCAAGGTATTCATTCCAACATCCAGGTTAACACAATTAGTCATTATTTGTGTCTCCCTGTAAAATGCTGGCCACACATGCAACAAAGTAGATACACAATCTTCAGGATTGATTTCTACGTTCATTTAGGTTAAATGATTAGAGGGATTCATGCTTTTCACTGAAAAAAGATTTACAGCAAATAAGAAAACATACATTACTTTACATAGCGGGTAAGGTGCAGTTGTGTTATATTTGAACATTCGTACTGAGTATACGGAATTAATTTCTGATTCCCAGAAGTAATCTGAAAATACCGGAGGAAGTATTTTTTGTGCATTCTGTTGTATATTGCATACAAAGCCTTTGTAGATCTTGAGTGCTTGTCTTCAGAAGCTAAATTCAAGTGACTCTATTTTAACAATTGTCCTTTATGTTGAATGAGGCAGGAGTTGGACAGAAAATAATTGTTGTGGTCTTATAGTAAGGGACACCCATCCGTGGTAGTCTACCATCATGGTGGACTACTGACAAGAGGCCCCCAATTAAGATTGCATGAGAACCCACAAGCCCAGCAATAACGTTCGGTGCTTTAGTTCACAGTCGAGGTAACAGTCAATTGAGGCAGAGAATTTTGCGTGTAATTTCCCGGTTTATTTTGCAAAGGAAAGTAGTAGTAAGGTACCAAGGCTTTGAATCCTGCACTAGCAATGCTGGCTTAGAAATTGCTTCTGTGTAAGCTACCGGACTTCAAAACCTCATCTAACAGCTTGAGAAGACAGTTACCTGTGGGGAAGAAAGATCGTGAGCCAGCCCTGCCTGATGGTTCTCCCTCCCCACCTCAACCAGGTCTTTCTTCTCCAGCACTTCCAGCACCATGCTGGCTGTTGCTGCAGCTTTGACCGTTATCACTTTGGCATGCTGCCAGCATTTTCTTCACCTACACCATGGCCATTCTGATCAATACATATATCAGCAAAACCTGAATGTGGTATGTCGGATGGAAGAAGAGCATGTCTTCAGCTGAAGGTGCCTCCATTTGCACAGTGTGGAAGGGGTATATCTAGTTGGTGTAGGATCTCCCATCTCCCCACCTGCTGAGGCACTTGAAATACTCCCAAGACATGGCTCTGCAGAGCACAGACAATTGAGATGTTTCCTGTAGGTCATTTTTGTATCCTACTGCTTGTCACGTGCTGTGGTTACACTGGCTGTGCTATCTTCAGGGCTTTCCACACTACTTGGCTTGCCTGGAACTGTAAGCCACCAGTGTTTTAACTTCTGATTTTTGGGTCAAGGGTTATGTTTTGCAAGTTACCCTCTGTGTCAGACCACATTAGGGATTGCTCTGCATCCATTTTCTCTAAGCTGTGTTTCTCCTCCTCAAAGATTCCAGAATGATCACTGCAGTTAATCATTCTGTGTGTCGCATAGCATTTGTGAGCTTTGAAAAATATCCGCAGTTGCCTATTACAGTGACTAGTTGGAGGATAAATAAGGGACCAGGTTGCTAATACTGTTAAAAGAAAAACTACAGTTCAAAGCCACAATTCAACTGTTAGGCAAAACAGGCTCTGATGTGCAGTTCTCTTATGCTCTGGCAGAACACTAGCCCTACATATAACACCTGAGGGTAGGGTATGGCATGGAATGCATGTGTTTGTGCCAAACTTAACTTTGTCAGCCTTCAAAAAATCATCGTCTTTGGAGAGAGCCCTGAATTCTGCCAAACCAGCAAGCTTGAGCTGGCTAGAGAACAGACTGCATGAGAAAATGGGATATTCCATCTCAAGCTAATCTTATTTCCCCTGTCCATATTGAACAATGGAAACATTCAGTGCAGAACACCTTACCACGGAGGGGTTATGGAATAAGAAAGCATTGAGACTTTTTATTCATTTCCCTACGTGGGAGTTTTATGGGATAGTGCATAAGTTAAAGCTCCTCAGGGGCAGCTGTAGCTTGTACTCCGGTATTTACACTGGATTTTGTGCAACCATTTGCTATAGCATTCAGTAAAGTAAGTCAGGTAACCCCAGCATCACATGGTACACACAGTACCTCAGAGAATTTGTGTAGAGACGCACACTGTGGCCTGCCCCGGGACAGTACTCTGTGTGCTGGCTGATTTGGTAGCTTTCAGTGTGTGTTTTCATCCAGCTTTTCTTTCTGCAGATCTCTTTCTCTTTGTATCTGAAGTGCCTTAATTGCCGGTACAAGACTAGGAGAGGCAAGAGCTCTAGTCAGATGGTCAATGGGCTCTGAAAGCATCCTGTAACTTCCCAGCTAATATTTCATGCCTCTTCTTGAAGGACCACTTCTTGAGGCCATACAGCTGTAAGCTGTTTGTGACCTGGTCAGTCCTGTGCTAATTCTCTGAATAATGAGCTGGTTGCTGTCTCACACGCTTCTGTCTCCCAGAGTAGTTCACCAAGAGACCTCCTAACTCAGTAGGAATAACTCTGTGGAAAATATGTGGATATATGGTATTTACTAATTAATTTGGCTAAGAAGCAGGAAATTTTTCACCTTTAACTTGCTTTGGAGGAAGGTTTTATTTGTCTTGCCAAAGAATTGATCTCCAGAGTGGACAAACATGAAGGCTAAAACACAGGCTTCAGCATGCAAGTCAAAGGGTACCATTATCAAGACCAGAAAAGATGATGTGCTCAAGAGAAGGGCATGACTCTAGGAGCTATAAACCCAGGCAAAAGCTGTGACATTTGCTGCGCTGTGAGCACTTTACTTAGCTTCTCTGCCTCAGTTTGTAAAGAGCTTAGGATGAAAGCTGTTGCATGTGAATGCACAGCAGCATCACTCATGATTTTGAGGACCATTGTGGTCAGCCTTTCTCTAAGAGCAAGGGAAATACCCTAAGTGCTGTCATCTCCTTTCTTCTTCCCAGAGATGGTTACCATTTGACATAATGGCAAATACTATCCTATGTGTTCATCTCTAAATTATAAAGGAAGTTTTTTGTCTTGCTGAGTTCTTACCTCGTACAGTATGTAACTGGTCATGCTCAGAATAACATCTAATGTTTTCTGCTCCTGCACAAATCATTTTTAGTGTTTGGTATACAAAGTTCCCGGCTTCAGGGACTGCCAGGTTCACAGTGCCCCATATAGCCATTAATACTTCCTTCCAAAATTTATTATTCTTTCATCTCACCCATAATATATGAATTAGAGTCCCTAGTGGAAATTCCTCATTTTCCTGCATATATCATTTCAGGTTTTGAAATTCTACAGTACTGCCATAGTTTAAGATTAATATGCTACACTTCTATTCCTTTGAGCAAGAACCGGATCCTAGCTCTGTTACTTCACATCGCAGAAAGCTTATTTTAGCTATTGAGTCGAATTTTCTTTTTTAAGGGGTTAGCAGTAAGTCTTTTGCTTTGGGGGACTGCTGCAATTTATGATAATGCTTGGAGAAAAGTAAAGCTTGCTCTCCCCATAGGTACCCACTGTTTTGTAAGTGAAGAAAGTAGGATATTGAGAGGGGAACGTGAAAAATTCTGGAGCTTCAGAGGGCTTCCCTTAGAATTATTCATAAGCTGTCTGAGAAGGCAAAGCAGGGCACTGGAAAGGATTTTGTCAGTTGTTACTTGCAAGGCAGTCTGAGCTGGTTGAACACTTTTAAACTCTAAGCCAGTTCCTTTGGTGATCATATGTTAGTGCTCTAAGAGAGCCT